GTGCAAAAGACCCTTTAAAATTTTCATCCTCTAGGTTTTCAACCACGGAGACAGAAATTAAACCAACTTAGAGCTTTCAAAATTAATTTTTCCTACATTGTCAGAATAAATCTTCTTCTTTGTATTTATGTAATTGACTATCCACGTTAAACAAGGTAAAAATTACCTTGTTAGCAGTTTGTACCAATTAGACTTTAGAGCCCACTAGAAGATGGTTATCCCTGTATTTTCTTTCTACTCTGGAAATTTGGTTTCTCACTTGTCATCATCTGTTGTCCCCAGCGCAGTCCCCAGCCTCCCACCTCTGACACTTCAGCTAGTCGACGAGCTCCTGAGGGAATGAAGCTTTGGTATCAGGATAGCCCTGGGTTTTCTGTAGCCCGCACTCCTTAGCCTCGCTAGTTGAAATGCCTAACCATGAGTGTGAGATGTGCCATCTCCAGCAGGAACCAGTGGCTGCTCCCCGCAGGAACGAAGGAGACGTCAGGAAGGTGGAGCTGGAGTAGCTGCAAATGGTTTTCAATTAGTGGGTCCTTTGTTGCTGTAAAGAGAGGGGATTAGAGGCAGGTCAAGAGATAAAACCTCCCGAAACAGGAGCTCAGGCAGTGCCTTGGTGGGCGGCTGGTGGTCTGGGAGCGCTGCACTCTGCAGCTGCCCGGGCTGGTGTGCGCCTTGCCTTTAAAAAGGGGGGGGGGGGGGGGGGGGGGGGGGGAAGGGGGCAGAGGGCCGCAGCGCTGGCACCGCGGCTTCCAGTGCCCTGAACGCTACGACGGCCCGGAGGCCACGCTGTGCTGCGGGACCTGCCGCCTGCGCTACTGCTGCTCCGCCAGGGAGGCTCGCCTGGACCAGGGCGAGTGCCCTGCTGACCACCAGCAGCCCAGCCCCAGGCCTCCAGTGCCAGGTAAGCTTCCACTGCCTCTCTCGGATGGGACGGGGGCGTATCGGATGGGCTTTCTTCTTTGCATCCCCTGGAGCACCTTTCCCTGGGGGCATCAGCCAGATCCGTCCTCTGTTGCTCTGCCCGTCAGAGCTCCAAGCTGCAACCAGTGCGGCAGAAAGGTGTGGAGCCCTGGCACAGCGCTTATTTTGGTGGCTGCATGGGCCAGAGCCACTCAGCTCCCTTCTCTGGGAAGAGGGAATAACCTGGGGCTTCACTCAAAAGACTCTTCTGTCAGTTCTACTCTCAGAAAAGCCCCTAAGCTACTAACAAAGTAATCCGGTAACGCCTCTGATGTTTCTATCCCCCGTGTTGCTAACCCACTCTGTTAATGCATGTGGATGCCTTTAACGAATGCATTTTGACTTGGTTTCTGGCTTGTAAAAACGCCTGTAGCCCTCAAACCCAGATTCCACAGGCAACCCATCAGCAGTTTAGGTACTAACTGTGTGTCGAAACTCGGTTACAAGTCCGAATTTCTACCTCAGTCGTGCACAAGCGAACAGCAGCTGTGCCATCTGAGTCCTGGCACAGCTCCTGCGGGGAGATCAATGGCAGGTGCTGTAGGACTGACTGGTCCGCCCGGGCTTCTCAAATGAGCCTGCTGTAGCAATTGCCAGTTTCTCATCTTCTTGCTGCAGCAAGAGAAGAGTTGAGAGTAAAACTACTCTGGCCTGCTCCCCGGTGCATGCGTGTCTTAAGGAATGAAGAGCAGAAGATAACCAGAATACCCCGTGAGCGAATGGCTGGCTAACGTCACTCTTCATTTTCAGTGCCCGTGTACCTGCCGTTCCTTCTGGTTGGATCTGTGTTTGTGGCATTTGTTGTTGTTGGCGCCTGCGTTGGAATCTGCTGCTGCAAATGCTTAAAATCCCAGGAAGAGGGACAGCAAAGTGGACTCGCACCTGGCCAGGCTTGGCTGCTAGAACCCGACCTTCCTTCTCGCCTCTCCAGTTCTAGTTCTGCCACCAGAAGCGCGCTGAGCAGCGCTCCCCAGAGCACCAACATCGGCATGGCTCTGGCTCCAGCCCTTCCTATTGTCGGGTTGGCTGAAGATGCTCGGTTCCCAAGTCCTCCACCGAGCAGTGGGCAACTCCTGCACCCTCCGCACGCTCCCCACAGCATACCAACTGATCGCACCGCAGTAATGGCTCCAGCGCCTTCCCTTAAAAGAACAGTTTACGGACACAGTGGTAAGGCCCCCCCCCCTCGGGGTAAGGCAGGGTGGCCAAATGATGCTCTCGGGAGGTCGTGTCTGAGGAGATGACACGTCGGCATACAGCCTGAACCAAATCCTACTCCGCTATTACAAAAGGTTCTTTGGGACTGAAACGAGGACTTTCAAATGTTTGACGCTATTAGGAAGTGCACCAATTTTGGCTTTTTACAGCTCTGAAGATGACGTTTTAGAACTTCTTTTAGGTTCTTGGGTTTTTAACTTGTATTATTTTAATGCTATTGAAAAAGGCAAGATTCTGAGGCCTGTATACCTGTTCAAGGAACGACTGAAACTGTAGAATCGAGTTTCACCCTTCCCTGGTCCTGTCAAGCTGCCAGGCCACGCTCTAGGGGACACGCCGGGGGCCTTGGTTTCAATTTCTGTGGCTGCGTCACTTTTCAGCAACTTCGGACAGGGAGGTGCCTCAGGGGCGTTATTAATTGTGGACACCGGACAGCCTGTGAAGCACAGGAAGGCTGGACTTCATCTACACACTCCTACCAGGGATGGTGAAACACCGCCCGTGACTCCCCTGCCCCGATGAACTATCAGTTGGGTGGTGCTCCTAAAGGAGCAACTGGTAGCCCTAATTTCAGTCAAATATACGTAAAGTACAGATACTAGGGGAAGATAATAAAACAACGTATGTGTTGCTTCCTCTCTTCCAGTGGCTTAGTGGTCTTTTTTCTTTCTTTACATAACTGGACACTTCACATGGATGAAGAATTACAGGGTAAGGTAAGAACAAAGTAAGACTAATCAGTTTTCTGAGAACATGCTGGAAAAGCTTGCCTACTTTGCCTCCTTGTTGGTTAAGATGCATGCTGCCTGACTGCTGCCATCCCCTTCACAGCAGGAGACTGATAGGAAGGAGTTGTCAAATACATACTCGCTGCTGGAGTGTTTCAACACCGCCTCACAGCACAGAAACCCCAGTGATTATACTGTGGAGGCATGTTAAAAGGACTCCACAGGTGTTACCAGTAGGAGCAGGGGCCAAAGCTTAAAAATCTTATGTGTATAAGGCGGCTAAAGCCTTTCCCGTGTTAGCACTGCCTATCAAACAGAAAACTGGTACCATAAAGATGCTCGGAGCCTTCTCTTGTAAGTCAGTGGGACTGATATACTTTGTAAATAAATGTATGACCTTGCATTATGTATATTTTACTTCAGAACGTTACATCTTAATTCTGGCGAGCAGTATGTCCTACAGTAATGCTGATACTAAGCACACATGTGTCCGAGCGCCCCGGTTTGTGGGGGCACGGTGATGTATCTGCCCAAGTTCCTGACTCGTTCATGGGTGTGAATCAGAAATCTCACAGAACTTAGCCTACCCAGGGCTGTGACTCAGGTTTGCTTGGCCAGTTCCTCTTGAAATTGGTTATTCCAATATAATATAAGCATGGAAACAGAATACCCTAAAAATAAAAGCTTCCCCAAAATACCGAGACTGGTGCGGTACACTTGTTTTAGTACTGAAAAAATAGTAAGTTAAGGCTTCCAGAAATGTACCAGCTGGAACTTAAAGGCGTTGTCCTTGTTAGAGTCGGTGGAAGGTCGCTGGGATTTATTGGTAACTACACCAATGCGCAGCACCGCAGCTGGAACGCTGGTTTTTAAAGTTAGGTTTTAAACTTGCGTTGCTGAAAGCTCTTAGAAAACGGCTTCCTTTTTATAAAGTAACTGTTGTTTGCAGTTGGCTTAGGAAAATCTGTAGCTGAATGGAGTAGTTTATCTGGTTAAATGTCCAATTTTGATAGTACATCATGATAAAAACTCGTGTCAGTGCAGAGACAAATGGACAAAATCCGTCCTGATGCTCTTTGTTCTGGGAAATACAGAGCAACTCGTGTCACATTTATGCTGTTAGGAAGATGTATTTTATGCTTAGCAGACTCGGGCAATAGAAATGGAGAACAGGCGGTTTTATCAGCTAGTCTCTGCTTTAATAAAACATGATTATTCTCTACTGTAGATTTTCTGAACTAGAAAGGTAAAGGAGTATGTGACCTGACAGTCAGTACGCTTAAACCTCAGTCTGTAGTGCATACAGACCTCCTGTCAACTTCAACAGAAACCGCGAAAGCTCTCCAGGAGGCAGCTTCAGGATAAGGTTTAAAATTAAATAAGAAACCAGAGAAATAGCCTTCCTGATACCATAAAACAGAGAAGGGTCAAGAGGTTCACGTGTAACCCTAAAGGATTAAAAGGAAAGAAGCGGATCAGAATTGAGGAACAGAAAAGCTAAACGGTTTTGTGAATGCTGCCTTAATTGCTCTCCGGCGAGGATCAGCAGACGGTTTGGAGTCGGCATACCTTCCTCTCCCCCACCTTCCCCTCTGCAGTCCGCACCTGAAAAACTGAGGGGGAAAAAGGCAAAAAGGCTTAACTGAGTAGGCGCTCACTGGCGAAGCCAGAATGGGAACAACCGGGTTTTCTGGATCCCTATCGCAGTATTTTCTATACAGTTAAAACCAATGTTTGCGGCAACAAAGCCAGGTCAAATATTTCAAGGGTTCAATATTTCTTTTCAAAACTTCAAGAGAAAACAAGAAGGAACCAATTTGTTGCGCTCCAAGGGCTGGAGAGACGTTTTTCAAAGAACCGTTCGCTTAACGTCTTCCATCAAGCACCACTGTAAACTCGGATTACCTTGGTCTCAATTAGCATCTGCATTAAAATCAGATCAACTCATGCGGGGACTAAGGGAAAAGCACGGAGTATTTTCTATGTAAATTCTATCCCTTTACTAATTTGAGGGGCCTTGCCACTGAGTTTAGCACATCTTTAGATAGATGGGATATGTTCATGCTAAATCCCTTTTTTTCTCCCCTAAACTGCTTTTCTGGTTCAAGCTAAAGAAGGAGTACTTAGCAGAGACTAATAGTCTACTTAGCACCTATTGTACTAGGTGCTTTGCTTTGTTTGCCTAATGATGCCCCCATCCCATTCCCCTCCACTTCTCATTAAGAAATGATTTCCACTCTTTGCTCCTTAATCCTCAGTAATGACACAGGTGATCTGAATTGTTCTTGCTGTATTCTTTCTGGATTTAGGAAGAAAGAAGAGAAGAGCTAAGAATTGAAAAGGTGAAGATGACAGCTTTAGCCCTCAGAAGCCTGTTACAAGGCTTGCAGAATGGTGTCCGTGCGGTTTGTTACAGGCTTGTCTGCACATGGCCTTGCCTTGGTTTGAACAGTGGTTTTAATTTTCTTTAGCTTCAATCTGTTCCCAGTTGATCTGAGATAAACCAAAATGTATTTTTGTCCAGATTTTTGGGACAGATTTAACCAAACTAGTTTAAAGCATGGCAGGTTTCTATGTTGCATATAACCCTGTCTCCACGATATTCCTGGTTTACTCCTTTTTTTGCACTGAATCAATATACAGCGGCCGATCGATCCACTCTGTGCTACTAGAAAATAAAAACAAAGCAACTTAAAGAGCTTTTACTTCTCATGCTATAAAGCCGTGGTTTTTAAAGTACTGAATAAAAAGCAACCCCCCTTTCTGAATGGGTAAGTATCTCCAGTTTTCCCTGGGGAAAACTATGGTACAGAGAAGTTGTTCAAGGTCTTTCACCTCTTTCACTCTTCACCTCTTCCAAGGCTGCACACTGTATGGGCAGAACTGCGAAGAGATTCCAGCAACCCTGGCTCCACAGCTTAGATGAGTCCACTACTGGTATTAACAGTGTAATGAATTTTTTTGCCTAAGAATAACGATCGATATTTGCCTTGCATTAAGTGACAGGTTTGCTTTTATTCAGCAGAGCTGCAGTTTTTTAACTGTAAAACCAGAGCGGGCTGTTATGGATGCTGTGTGTTTTTTTCGTGTTTACGCCAAGGGTTTCACAAAGATCTGCAACAATTCATTCCAATCAAGTCAATTCAACTCTGAACTGAAACAAGAATCCCCTCTGTCCTTCAAGCAGAGCTACACTGATTTGCAATTCTTCAGTACTCTGGCAGATGGATCAAAAATTGTCAGAGTGCACAAGCCCATCAAATCTACAGTTTTCTGTGGGATCTCAAAGCAAGGAGAAGCATTCCTCAGATGGAAGTTACACTATTTCCTTAGGTCCTTCCTACAAGAAAGTGAAGGTAGTCACAATGTAAGTTCAAAGTTGCAGTGGAAAATGGTATGTAATTCTATTGCTTTGAAACTGTTTTGATTGTCTTTACACCACTTTACATTGTATTAGATCTTAACAGAGCAGAAAGGACAGTGCCTAACCAAAGCCCCACATACTGGGAAGTGCCTGCTGGCATCCCAGTGCCTTGATACAGATGCACGAGGGTGCAGGAGGTTCAGAGGGCAAAATGAGGCTGGATGTTTTTAACACAAGTTGGGGCAGGGGGGAACGTACAAAGCCCTGGCTGGCTGGCTGGCTGTGTCTGCACAGCCAC